ATTTCTGGTTTCTTTGAACTAGCTGGCCACATGCTGTGAGATGTGGAGAGTGCGACTGATGTGGATGACTATCTAAGGCCGGGAATAAGAGAGGGAATATAAGTGAAGATGAAGAGGATTTGATCGTACGGCTACACGGCCTTCTCGGAAATCGATGGTCCTTAATCGCCGGCAGATTGCCAGGTCGAACTGACAATGAGATCAAGAATCACTGGAATACACACCTCCTTAAGAAACTCAGAAACTCCGGCCTCCACGTCAGCACTCTTAGAGATTCCATCAAATCTGCCGCCAAACCCAAGAAATCCGCCGCCGGAGCCGTCGCCGGAAAGAAGAAAAAGAAGCAGAAGAAGGTAGTAGATGTTGAGGAAAAAATCGGTAATAGCGAGAAAGCGTTGACTGTTGACCAAGAGAAGGTGTCAAATAAAAGTGAAGATATTAATATTAATATTAATATTAATAATAATAATCCGGCGAAGATTAAGGTGTATTTGCCGAAGCCGATGAGGGTTTCGCCGGGGTTTTCGAGGACGAGCAGCTACGACAGCTTGGTCAGTGGGGCGTCGAACAGCGACGGCGGCGGAGAGGCGGCGGCGCCGGAGAAGGAGGAGGCGGCGGCGGGGGATGGGGTTTCGTACATGCCGGTGGCGTGGCCGCCGCTGTTCGAGATGGAGTACGCGAATTACTACGGCGGCGACGGAGGAGAGGAGGATGATTTTATTATGGGCGGCGGCGGCGGCGGTGGTGGGTTCTTTCTGCCGTTGCTCCACCACTCCGGCGATTCAATATCTAGTGATGTAAACATGCTAGAGAAAGTCTACGACGAGTATGTGCAGCTTCTCTAGACCAAGAATAAATAAATCAATAAATAAATAAATAAATCAAAACAAAAAATGTTTGAGTTTAATTTTTTTTACTGTTTTACCCTTATTTTCTTGCTTTTTTGTTTATGTATCACCTTTTTATTTAACTATTGTGGGAAAAAATGAGGAAGTCAGATGTTACACCGTAGATTTGATTAAATAATTATCTACTAAGTACACATATTGAATGTCTACGATTATGTGTAGATTTAAGATTCAAATTTACCCACTATAAATAACTAGATGTAACATTTAATTTCCCGTAAAAATCTCAAATACGAGATGGTAAGTCACTTTACCATTTTGCGCACTTCAATTTTGAACAAATTTAGTTTGTCCGTCAAAAAACATTGAATTTATCGCCACCTAATTGGAAGAAAATTATTACATACATTGAATAGCTATAAGGAAATAATAAATAAATTAAGTTAGTACTTAGTAGAGATCAAGTTGCATTTGATTTATTACAAGTGGATGGTCTATGATTCACCTAATTTCATGGAAAAGTCGTTCAACGTTTGAAAATTCCAAGTTTGTCTACTTGTTCTTGCAATATGGTACAAGTAAATTGATGAAATTAGATGCTGCCTTAGTTTATTTACATCGATTGATAGTTAATTGTAGATCTTTATATAATCACACACATCTATGTACATGTATGTTTTAGTTGGATGTTATTTAATTTCATCTACCACTAACAGTCACCTAACATAAATAATCAGATGTAGCATCTAATTTTTCAATAAATTAAGTATATTTTGCTAAAAATGAACTCCACCAGTTTGGTTTGTTGATTTATTATTATATTTTAATGTTTCTGAATTGTTTACTATTTTAAATTTTCACTTTTAGCATGATTGATCTATTATTCTAATATTTTTGTTTATATATTTCATGAATAGCACAACTAATCATCTATAAATTAATATAGTTGGGGCCAGCAGAGTTCTATTAATTTAGTAAAATATTAAATTATCGAACTAATAATTTAGTACATTTTTATAAAATTGAAATCGAAAGAAATTATTATTTAAGCAAAATTATTAATTTATCGAAATTCTACTGTACAATATTTCTGTCATTTCACCAATTGAGATAAAGTATAGTTTTCGATTAAAGTGCAAGTTTTGATTGACTAATAGTTATATTTATGAAACATCTAATAATGTGAGCATTTATAGTAATATTCTTTTTTTAAATGGGATGGGACATATAATTAAATTGGATAAGTAGCTAGCTGAATTAATGCTTGTAGAATTCATCTAATTATAAAATTTAAAGATAAAAAGAATTGCATAAAATATTATAATTGATGTGTCCACTCGGATTTTTACTCAAAATATACATTTACAATAAATGATGATTCTCCAATTTACCAATACCGACTCTTGTCACATGACGCGTCCTTTTGCGCGTGACTTACACCATTAGAAGGAATTACTTGGGCGGCTCTAGGAAATTTTTCTTCTGGGCAAAGTTTACATAGGGATGGCAATAAGTATGGGTTTGCCGGATGTTAGATTCGGAACCGACCCGTTTGAGGCGGATCTGAGTAAGTTAAATGGTTTTAGATCAGATAAAGGGTTTAAGTTTCCAGAACCGGATGGTTCTGGTTTGGGTTATAGGTCTTATTGGAACCGACCTAGAATATTTTATAATTAATCTATATATAAAAATTAATTTATGAGTTTATTTATCAAACTTTCAATTTTCATCGTGCCTATCATCAGTTACCCATTTTTTATCATTTCATTTTTTTGAATCTCATTTTTCGTAAGTAAAATCAATCAGTTGTCGACCACCGCTAGTCGTCTTGTCTTTTGAATTTTACTTATTGTAGAAGTTAAATAAAATTAATTATATAATTTTATTATTCACTTTATATCACCTGTAGAAGTATTTTGATTTTTAAATTATTTTGTTAAAATATAGAAGCAAAATATTATGGAAGTGAAAAAATAATATTTTTTTTTAATATTAACGGGTCTAACGGTCCTGGCGGGTTAGAACCGTTTAATTCGGGTACGGGTTGAGGCGGGTTTGGGTGTAAGCTGAACTAGGTTGGGGCGGGTCTGGATTTTATATATTTTTCACGGGTCGGGTCTCGGGTTTAGGCAAACCCAGCCTAAAACCGACCCGTTGCCATCCCTAGGTTTACAGGAGTTTGGGAACAGTCTTCCGAACTTATTTTTTAGGATTGATTTAGAAAACAACTATGAATTACTTATTATTAAAAAAAAATTCTTGAAGGCGGGTCAAACTTCGCTCACAAATATCGGTCAATAATTATTTTTTTTTTACTTTTTTAATTCAAAATAAAAGTTAGGATTTCAATAAAAAAAATGAGTTTATGCTATGTTAACTATTATTGTTAAAAAATCTAATGATGTATGCCAGTAATCTTCCAGAATAAATTTAAATTCAAAAATTTTACCTTTTTATTTATACTTAATTTTTAAAAAATATATGTAGGGATGCGTCTAGAAAATAGCTTAAAGCAACTTTTTTGTAGAGAAGCAAAAACAAAAGTTGATTTTACAAACACCTGACAACAAATTATAAACTATAAAAAGCTCAGGAGCTGTTTCTAATAGCTTTTGCAAATAACGCATAAAATTATCGCTTTTGAGTTTTTATTTCATAAAATTCTCCATATAATTTGACGGACTAAATATAAACAATAATATTAATATATAGTTTATTGCAATTTATCCAAAGACCCAACTCTCAAAATTCTAGAAACACTAGTATCGTGCGAATTTGTGAGGTTGTGGTAATGGTGGCCTTGTTGTCACGTGATTTGTTTATTTATTTAATTTATTTTTGATGCAGATTTTTTGATTTTTATTTTATTGTAATAATGGAATATTAACTCCAAAAGAATTTAATATAACCTTTTAAAGCCCCATCAATCTTTTTCGACGACTAAGTATATATTTCTATCTTCACGTTACAAAAAAATAATATCATAAGATGCTTTACAGATCATTCCCACTTGCAATTAAACTATTCGTGCCAACTTATGTTGTCACAAACACTTTAGAACATACTTATGCATCTTTATTAGGGGCAATAATAATTTGAAAATAATTGATTTAAATGACTTTATTTTGTTTTGCAATGCACCAAAGTTTGAGACAAAAAACAAAAGTTTAAGGCTCTGTTTGGTAAGCTTTTGGGCTTCCATTTCCATTTTATTTTGGGGAAAGATGTTTTGGGAGAAGAATTTGAAAATTAAATAAAGTTTGTTTGTGTTTTGGGAGGAGACAATTTGTACTGTAGCAAGTCAAATCATGTCTGAAAGGTGTTGGGAAAAGGTATTTTGGAAGAAGAATTTAAAAGATAAAGTGATTTGATTTTGTATTTTAGTGAAGACAATTTTCACTGTAGCGGTCAAATCATGTTTCTTAGAGAGAGAAATATTTGAATTTGTTTTGGGGAAAGTTTTTGAAAATAGTGTAGAAAAATAATTTTCATTTTGGGGGAAGTGTGAAAAGAATTTGAAAATGCTAACAAACATAACCAAAGTGATGTGTGTAGGGATGTTCATTCGGTAAAACTGTAAACAATCGTATCGAAATTTCGGTACTTCAAAAATTTGTAGCATTTACTGAACTGAACTATTCGGTTCAGTACGATTTTTTTGCAGAATTTATAGGACCAAATTCTTTATACATTTCTTAGAAAGGATATCATTTGGATCATAATAATTAATTAATATTATAAAAGGAAGATCGTGAGTGAGAAAATGTCAAGTAAAGTATAGACGAGCCCAGCTCGAGTCAAGTCTGGCTATTTTGGCTAGTTCGAGCTCTTTGAGTTTTATTTTCATTAATATTATTATAATTTTATTATTATAAATTATAACACAAAAATTGAAATAAAAAAACGACCTGTAATTTATTTATTTATATGAATATATTATTTACTTTATTATTGATTATATTTAAAATAAGGTCGGGTTCGACTCATCAGAAACAACTAAAAATAAGATCGGATTCAACTCATCAGAAAGTTCGAGCACGGAAAATTTAAGCTTGAGTTCGAGCTTTTGTCGAACTGATTCACCGAACTCACGAACCGTCTCAACTCATTTACACCTCTAACATCAACTAATACTAAGTTATGATTGAATACATACATATATAAGTTATATATAGCAATTATATATGTTTGACAAAATTAAGTTGTTGTAAGTTTAGTAATGTGAAAAACTAATCAAAAGTTCTTATAAATTTTGTGAAGTCTTCATTTTATGAATATATATATATATCAAAAGCAATGGTAAGAAATCAAGAAAGTATACGAAAAGTCCCTAAAAAACAAAACTAGGAAAAGCATACATTAAAAAGAGTAATTATTAAAATAGGCAAATCATCGTACATGATTAAACCTCAAATATCTTCTAGATCATAAATTAATTAGTTAGGCGTTGGCTCGTTAAATGCTACCTAGTAGGTAAAATATCATAATAAATTCCAATTGAATATATTTTCCTCAGTTGATGGTGGGTGCCACGTGTTGTATCTTTAATCGGCTGCTTTCATAATTAGTAGATTCTTGAAAAAAAAAGGGATAAAAAAAGGATATTCTTGTTTTAGTGTAAATCTAACTAAGAAGTGTGGCCTTTGTATTTTTTTGATTTGTTGTCAATTGTTATCAAATGATGAAGGGATCTGATAAATGTTGTCCGAGCTTTAATAATATTTGTTTCGACTTTAAATGCAATTTCGATCATTTTTTTAGTTTTTTGAGTTGGTTTTCTGATCCGACGTGAATCAACAAAATTAGATGCCAAAATCAAACAAGAAATATATCAAATTCAATTTCGAAGTCATAACGGTATTAGTAAAATTGAAACGACGTTTAACATTTCAGAATAATGAACGATAATGTCGTACCGGCAGTATGGCATAATATGTATGTTTGGAATTAGTTTAAATTTGAGAATTGTAGGTTTTTTTTGAGTTGTTAATTGTTTTGAACCGATAAATACCTTTTAACTATCCATCTTAAGTAGAACATATAAAATAATACAATTTGTTTTAATTTTCAACCACAAGCATATTCTATGGCCTTCCAAATTATATTATAATCATATAAGTAAGGAGTTTTAAGAAAGCAAAAAAAAAAAAAAAAAAAAGAGGAAACAAAATTAATATGCAGAAAGAGAAATAACATTTTTTTTATTTAGAAAAAAATTAAATTATCTCACAAATGAAAAAAAAAATAGGACCAATTTTTATGAATTCAACATTAAAGAGTGCTAGAATTTTAAATAACTGGCAGTTGTGGTCCTGTTGTGCAATTATGGTAGTAATAAACACGTTCAAGTTGATAATATTTAAATACCAACCTCAGTAATTTATTGCTAAAGGCAGTTCATTGTCCCATGCTTCTTAACTGGCAATGTTTTCGATAGATTTAAGGCAGATTTGTTTGGATTCAAAATTATTATTATTTTCTGTTTATTGTTTAATTAATTAATTTATTAATTAATTATTAATTAATTAATTAAATATATTGAATATAAAACGTGTAGTCGTGTACATTCAAAACGAAACAACGTATCGTTTAGGAGAGCGTGAAAAGGCGGAGATAAGGTTTGTGCAGTCCCAATAAAAAAAAAAATTAATTAATTAATAATAGAGAATCAAAACATGTGATTTATTTTTTTGCTTAAATACAGATTAGAATTAATCTCTAAAATATAATTTGTAATACTTACTCCTCAAGCTCAATTTATTTGTATTTTAAATTTTAATATATTAAAATTTTCTTCTTAATTTAAGAAAATAACTAAAAGAATAATTAAATTATACATATAAAAATATCTATTGAAAATGCAATATTTAAAAATTTAAAAATATTATCATGTGTTGCGTACATATTTAATAAATAACATCTAATTGTTATTGAAACAAGTAATCAAATATCTTCATATCGATAAATTTTAAGAAATCAATACATAACTAATAGTAATCTTATGTATTCAAATATATTTTAGTTCATTAATTTCGTAAATTATATTTCCATTAATTATTATACTACATATATTACTTTTAATTTTTTTTTTTCAATAATTTAATTTTTTTAGTTACTTATCATTTTTTTATGATCCAATAATTATTAGATTGCTATGTTTATTAGTTTTTAAATTTAAAAAAAAATATAAAATAATTGATGTTGAGGGGATAAGTGTTACAAATGATACTTCATGGGGTAAGTGTTATGTAGAGTATACTTCAAGTGTGCAAAGTGTATTTAATTCTATTTTTTCTGTTCATTATAATATATTTATTGTTATTGACTTATACATTGTTACCGAATGCATGTTCAGTTCTTGATTTGCACCATGTTTTATAATTTTTATTTTTTGATTATTGCTTTTTCTTTTCTTTTTGGTTATTTTTACAAGTTTTGTAATTTTTATTTTCTTAGTGATTTTATAGGTGAATTAAATGGATGAATAATCGGTAAAAAGTGAAAATTCGGAAGGAAAATAAACTTGGGAAAATAAAATAATTTTGACAGTGCCCACTATTCTGACCGTAACCCACTCATACGATGTCCTATTGATTCAATTTAAGAGCCTCTGGAAAGCAAAGATAAAGGAATACAACTTTCATGTTTCGTGTTTTATCAAATTATAAAGGGTAGAAAGTAAAAGGAAGAACTGTAGTACCTTGATGAAAATTCCTATATATAACGAACAAGAAATTTGTAAACTGCACGCACCAAACAAGTTTTGTGCGATGAACTAGACCTAAAAAGTGTTAATATAGGATTGAACTCGTGCCACTAAACACTGCGTTCTCCTTACTCGACCAACTAGACACCTATTAGGAGAAACTTAATTGTAGTGGGATGAATAAAAGATTGAAAATATTTCAACTAATTGATTAGTTGAAAATGAATTCAAAACTTAAATGTGATCTTACATCTAAGTATAACTTTTTAAATCCACCCTTTTCATATAATAATAATAATAATAATAATAATAATAATAATAATAATAATAATAATAATAATAATAATAATAATAATAATTACTATCATAATAATTATTTTAATAATAATAATAATAATAATAATTATTATTATTATTATTATTAATAATGAGTGGGGTAGGGTGGCGGCTTAGGTATATATTGTTGAAATTATGACAAAAGAGTTTGTCAATGATGCTACTTTTTCTTGGACTAAAGTCACAAACTTGTCTTTTTATTGGACCTCTATGCATTATTAAGGATGCTCATGCTTTTGGTGGCATTATAATTCATCCTTTTTTATTTTATTTTTAATTGTAATAAAGGTAATAATCATGCAAACACCTCTATACACCTGAATCCATGGGTAGGAATATTAATATTAATTAAATAATCATGTTAAAAAAATATTAATTAAGTCATTCTTTTATTTATAAGGGGAAAATTTGTCATATTGTGCAAATTAATTAAAATGAATTTCACCCGGTAAAAAAATTTCTCAAATCTACTAATTTTCTGGATCTAAATGCTAAATTGCTAATAAATAAATAAATAAATTTAAAATACAAGATTATAGCCCGATATAGAAGCACCGGTAAGTATTGCGTCACGTAACAAACATTCAAAACGTTAATTGGCTCAAGTGAGTATAAAAAATGCTAAAAATCGATGTTTGTAAAATATCCATAGTCTATATAATCGGGTATGGTAAATGTAGTAAGTGACGGAGTCAGCACAACATCTCTCAACTTCCTGTTATTTTATATAAAAGTTTAGAATTATTTTTTATAAAGGAAGGCATTGTCGGCATCTGTCGTAATTTCTTTTAATACATTCGACCCGTGAGGACTTAAAATCCTGTTGCTGGTGATGAATAACGTTCGTCAAATGTAACATCTTGAGTTTAAAGAGATTTGTCGTGTCCAAAAAATAAGTGAACGGCTCACATTAAAAGAAAAAATATATAATTTGAGAAGGAAAATATTTATTGTACTAGAAAGTGAAATAATTTAATGACAACAAAAATAAAATAGTACTAGCATGTGATGTGTGGAAGGATATTTGTTCCCACTTGTTTGGGGGGGGCATAAAACAAAAACACTGTGCCTGCAGGGCCCTGGAAAACAAGCCATCGTTTGTTTATTTTATGGTACAATTTTTCTCTAAAATAAAATAATAAAAAAAAAAAAGAAAAATGAAGAAAAAGTTTGATGTCCGTTGAATATTCAAAGGCATCTTCCTGAATTTCCACTACATTTTTATGGTGTAATTTACCATTAAAAGTTAAATTATTGTCTCCAACAGGGCAGTCAAGCTAGTAATATTAATTAAAAAAAAATTTTAATTCAAAAAAAAAGAAAAAGTCAATAGTGGTTGACCGGCTGGAAAAAAATTCAAAAAAGAAAAAAAGTCAACGTCGGAATCTGGCCGGAAAACAAAAATTATTTTTTCAAAAAATTATTAAAATGGGGTTAACGTGATATATTTGTTTAAATCCGGGGTCAATGTGTAATATTGAGGAAGTTAGAGTATAATGGATGAAATTGATAAAAAATATATTATGGAGAGTATTTTAGACAAAAGACATGAGAGTAGTTTATTTGGAAGACTTTTTTTTGTCTTCCTAAACTCGTCACGTCCCTCTTTGTCATTCGCCATTTTTTAATTATATTTATGATCTAAACAATATTATCCTAAATATAAATAATTATTAAAAAATATTGTGATTTTTTTTTTTACTAAATGGTTTTTTCTACTATTTAATCAAAAATATTTACAAATTACATTATATTATCACAAACAATATGATTATAACCAATCCAATTAATATTATTATTCCCATTAATATTTCCATAAAAAGCTTTTCTTTTTCCCCATAATAGAAAACTAAACCTAGTAATGTATTATCACCTATTTTAAAGGGGAGAATGTATAGTATAGTAGACATGTGCAAAACGTTACCCGAATATCCAGGTGAACCCAATAATTGCAATAAAACATTTCTTTAATTAATGATTATTGCAACAGAAAATTTTTCAAGCAATGATTCAAATCTTTTGAGCAAAGCTAAATTTGCGACCACGAAAGATTCTAAAGGATATGCTAATCAAAATAATTAAATTTAAAATAATAAATAATAATTACTTTATTTAGGGTTGTTGGGGGTGTCTGAAAATTATTTATATTATACTGTTGCTGTATTAATTGAGGAAGAGTGGAAGAGACCAGGCCACGTGCATCGTGCATGCGACTATCTCATATCATATCTAAAGCAAATCTCAGACAATTTGCCCATGTGACGTACGATCCCCACACACTCGGAATTAATACACACCACCAATAATATGATGAGGTTTCTTGGTTATTTATATGGTACAGTTAAGATTAGAGTGCTTTTTTTACCGTTGATCTACACACATCAATGTGTGTGTGTGTTTATATGTATATAAATGATAAAGATCTATTCGGAGTATTTTATCCGGTGTAAGCATATAATAGACCGGGTTTGTTCATGTGCTACATTTTAAATTTCATCTAGTTATCTTTTTTTCTTCCAGTGATTTCTACTAAATATCTTCACCAATTCCAATAAAAGATCCATCAATTAAATAAATTTAGTGACAAAAAAATATTTTTTTTTAGAACATATAGTTTTTAAGTAATTCGGTGTGAGAATTTTTTTTTTTTTTTGCAAATATGCTCAAAATTATGTTGGAGGTAGAAAAAAAAAAGGCAATTTAATTTGTTATTTTGCACCCTGAAAATTAAAAAGGTCAATTAGAACAAAATTTGGTCTCAATAAGTTTAATTATGCAATTTATGGTGCATTGTAAATGATTATTGTGTTTCAACGGTACAAAATGGTATTAATTTTTTTAAGGGTGCAAAGTACGATTAAGCCATCACATATATGCATATGATTTCGTATAAATCAAAGATGAAAAATACAAATACATGAGTTGGCTTATGCACTAATTTCTTCAAATTGTTTAATTGCATTTTCCGTCCATCAAATCGAGCTCGAAGAATTTTATTTTTCTCACCAGTTTGGATATTTTTTCTAATCGAATGAAAATATGAATTCAGACACAATCCATTATGTTATCGAACTATGTCAAAACTCCAACCCAACTTTTGATGAACGAGTATGGAGTCGTTGGATTCAATTTCCAGCCCTAATTGTGTCCACATCGATCAATTAGTACTTATATTTATCTGCGATTAGTGAAGTACAAACACGTCTCAAATTCAGTACAAACGCTAAAAGGCGAGCGAGCACACACTACGTGTGAACTCTTTCTTCTAATCAAGAATTTACGAGATATCATTTTACATATAAAATTTGGAATTTCTCCCACTCCTAAGTGGCCACAAATCCCCCCAAAGCGACCTCCGAGCCTGATGGTGCAATGCAGGACTCTTGCTCTTTGTAATGACAACACGGTCGAACGAGCCCTCTGTGCCTTCTTCATTAGTGGATCTGCAAACATCCAATTCGACTCTTTTGCCCCTCCTCAAAGGCATATATATTATTCTTCCCCACCCACTCCCTAGATCAGCACTTGGACTTTCTTCTTCTTCTTCTTCTTCTTTTTCTTCGATTCCTTCGTCTGCATTATCATTATCAGTTTCTTCCTCTGTTTCTGAGCAATCAGATTCATATCGTTTACGTTTAATGCGATCATCTTTTTGTTTTTCTTCTTCTTCAGACTGATCAACCTGCACTTCGTCGCTCCCAAGTTGGCTCTCTGCCAATAATTGAACTTCTCCCCTCTCAAATTGAGACTCTGACAATAAATTTAATGTTAATTCAACATAATTAACAAGAATCTAAGTCACATTATCGAGTGGAGAAAATTGAAAAAGAATGAATCGATATTGCAGGATTTTCACTGAGGGGAAACTAGTGCCAATGTAATATTTTGCTGTACAAAATTTAAATACGGACACTCACCGACGTCAATATCATAATTTTCTGGTATTCGTTTAGCATGCATCTCCTTTAATGTGTCGAACTTCATACCATCAAGCGGCCAAGGTTCTCTGCTCAAGAAAATAATTAGTGATTCAAGTGGAGGTTTCGGCATATGAGTTGAATTTTGAAACAAGAAAATTAACAAGTTATTGACCTAGTTCCAGTTATAAGCAGCAGATAATTGGAAGCATATTTTCACTATATATGGAAATTGAAAAACGATTTCTCTCGTTTCTAAATCCTGAATAGGGCAATTAACCATTCATACAAAGATTTCAAAACTGTTACTTGTAAGATAACAATTGAAAAACTATTTCATGCCCCATATGCTTAACATCTTAGGCCTCGCTTGGTTGGGGTGATTAGCCATGCTTAACTAAATAATGGGACGGATGTTTGGTATCCCCAATATCTTGCCGGGTCGACCCCGCAAATATTATGTTATCATACCTTATCTTGCCTTTTAGGCATGCTTTTTATTGGATTTTCCAAGGTCCAATAATACAAAATTGGGTTTCATTAGATTATTTAATTTTATCTTGGCTAATCTTATAACCAAACGAGGTTTTATTGTACTACGAATCCAGAGCTGTAACATAAATCTGAATCATGACAGTCATTCCTTGCAAAGACTATTTACACGTAATACTTCGGGCCTATGTTGTAATGGATGCAGCAATAGTAGACAGATTAATAGTGCGCTAATTTGTTAGCTGAATAAAGAAAAAAACAAGCGAGTTATAAAACTTGCTACACTAACCTTGGTCTTGTTCCTCGTCTGAAAGCAACATAGGAGAATTTTTCATCTTCATAGCCACGTAAAGGGCCCTTGGTCCGCTGACGAAAATTGACAACGATAACAAATTACAACACTTTCACATCCACAGCTTTAAATAAAATAAATCAGTAATAATATGTAAATCTGCTTGATCGCGGATCAGATAGGATTTAAGGCATAGAAAAACTATAAGAAAAATCAGCAAAAATAATTATTTATTTGCTAGCTCAAGAAGAGAAAATTCTCATCAGATTAAAATATTTCTTGACGAGTCAATTTGGTTTCCATATAATTAACTAAAGAACAAAAAATTAACTAGATTCTGCAGAGACACTCGGGCATAAGTTCGATGGTAATATTAATGTCCGTGTGGTAATTGACTTGAAAGCACATCCAACTTCACTATATAATTTGTGAAATGAGTTCAGGCATTATTACACTAACAACTAAGAATACCACTAAATCAAATTCATAAACAGCAAGTGCGCTGAACTATATAACATGTTTCATATAAAGAAAAATACCCGTATACATCTAACAATTCTAGAGGCACTCATATGCAGTAAACAACTTAAAACTGACAAAGTAATGGAACTGATGTAATACAAAATATGAAACAACAGAAAAATAAGTTCTAAATTGATGTGGGGGAAGCAACGAGATCCTAGTTCCAAACTTTAATTCCTTTTTTTTATTTTTTTGGTTTTAAGTGATAATCATTTTGGCTGTTCAAGAATATTATTGAAATTGCTTACGTCATTATAGGGGCTTGGAGAACTATTCTTAATAAGTTCAAGTGTGCTAGCACCCTATTATTCCCTCTCTCTCTGGAAAGACCTCGAGAGATCACTCCTAAAACAGAATCTCAACTCTGTAATTAAATCGAGCACATCAATGAAGGAGATATATGTCTTTAACCAGAAATAACTTAATTATGTACGCCAAATGTCTCAATTACAAACCCCACAACCACACATTTTTCATTTCATTTCTCAAAAGTCATTCAAAACTAAATATCACACAAGTGGTACGAGCAAAATCCGGTTTTAGGACAAACCTTATATACACGCTGAGATGATGTCCTCTGCAAACGCTGAACAAAATGACAGTATTTGTTTGTATTCTGCAATGGACATGGTCCATCATGGGGACACTGCAACAAAACCATGGTGTTTTTTTTTCAGTTGTACTCTTTTGTTCATCAAAATACAAACTCAACTACATAGAAATTAAAATGGAGATTACGAAAGAAGAGTATAAGATATATCCGTCACTTACAGGAGCAACTACAAAAGCACCAGTTTTGAGAGGCACCAATTCCGTAGAGGCTTTATTGGCTGCATTCTGCAACTTGCGTGTTCTCTGAGAATTACAAAATCTACTTTCAGTTTACATTATAAACAACAGAGAGAGGAATCCACAAAACAAAACATGATGTTACCCTATTCTCCATCCATAAGATGTGCGACCGCATTTGAGATATAATATTTGATCCTTGTGGTGATCCAGGCTCGACCAAAACCTGAAATCGTAGCAGGAAAATGAAACTAGATGAGTAAAAAATAAGTTCTCACAAAATCCTATCGGTTCACAGGAATAAGAGACTTTAGTGTACAATACACTAATGTTATGGGAAAGCAGAGGAGAAACTAGGTTAAGAAACTAAATTTAAGGCCAAAACCTGATTCTCATTCCATAATTTATTTTTTGAACTTCAATTCTAAAAGCATCATTCACGTTTCAATTGTGTACTGATTCACTTATAATCTTATAATTATGGCGAAGTGTGAAGTTTCAGATTCTGGAACATGGAAACTTCACTAACTTTTTTTTTATCCTTTTGGCTTACAAATCATTATTGTTTTACTTATCGCCAACTATAAACAATTTGATAAATTTCTTGACTGAACTAAAATTCGACACATCATTAATATTTCAACCATGTACTTATTCACTTAATTTCAACCAAAAACTACAAAAGACTAACTCAAATTTGTGAACAATATATCTCCCCTGTTGTTATGAGCAGTCTTCATAATTAAAACACCACTCCAGCCTTCTACATTCTTAATTTCGGATAGATAGACCAGAGGACATGCTAAATAAAGATGAGCAGATGAAGTGAACATAAAGGAGATTAAACACTATCCACATTAAATAATTTATCCGAAAGTTAAGCAATGAGCCACAAGAGAAATAACTCGTCGTTTCAAACGTTACCAAGATGTCGTCTGTAAGATCCCACAGCTGGCGCACAAGAGTAATTCTGTCCTGTAATGATGGTACCTCTCCAAGGACGTATGACTTCACCAAATAGAAGAAAAAAAAACATTTTAACATTAGACCATAAAGTTTATATAACTAGATGTAACTGAAAATCTACTATCTAGCAATAAATAACCAAAAAAAACCAATACATAAGACTGTAAGAAAGATGCTCACAGCAATGACAAGATCATGTCTTCTGCCAGACTTGTTGATATGCTTACTCAATGATTGGATGCTATTGTAGCTTTGAACTAGCGGCAATTTTTTTAAATCTACATTTATAAGCCAATACACAACTCAGAGGTACTTCAAGTATATCCAAAAAAAAGGGTACAATGCATGATTCCCATAAGAATGTTAAGTGCATGGCATCAACATTCTTACATAACAATATGGTGCTCCAAAGAAAACATAGTAAATTTTATAACATTCATTATCAGTGTTGGTCGAATTACCAAATAGAATATGTAAATACTGTCGAGTTCAAGGTAGAAAGGGCCTAAAAATTGACATATAGCTAAGTAAATCAATTTACTAACACGTACAGTATAGGCAAAAGTTCACATTCAGAAGAGCTGACGTACAAAAGTACAGCTCGTTAAGAAGATTGCAAATGAAATTCAAAAGACCAAGAACCCTATGTATGTTACCTTTAAATAGACTCTGTCCTGCTCTTTGCATTGATTGTGATGGCTCCACCAAATTAATACGCTCCACAGAACCAGGCCACACCTCCATCATCGCCCTACCAAATTGCACAGACGTTAATGTTGGTAAATATAAAACCAATGCGCTCGTTATACATATAAATATTTACTCCGAATAACCAGAAAACGGAACCAACAGGCTCACCATAATGCTGAACTAGTCCCTGCCCCAAAGTCAAGTACTTTAGCTGGAGTAAAATCGGGAACTCTTCTTCTCACCTATTAAATTCATCTCCACAAATAAAACATCCCCTTCTCTATCACCAAATTTTAATAATGAATTATAATTCTCCACCTATTCAAGATAAAGTTACCAACTTAAATTTGATTCGAAGCTAAAGCGTTTATTTTCTCCAAGGAACATATTTTACCAAATACAACCAGTTTAGCAATATAAATTATTTCTCCAACATCATTTACCTGGATTAAGTACATTCGAACATACAACCACAATAAGAGAAATGTAAGCAACAACACAACTTTTATACCTCACTGAGGACTCGATAGAGAGCAGAGTAGACAGCTGGCATACGAGCAGCGACATAAGCAACAGCCTGTTCTTCTTGGTACTTAAGACCAACATCGCGATAAGAAGTGCTGAGTTTCCACCTCTGTGAGCTTTCCATGGCCTTAAGTGGATCTTCCACAAGCTCCTTTGAGGTCGAGCTCGGTAGTAGCAAGTTCGCTTCCTTTATATCGTTGAACGATCGACACAGGCTCAACACATTTCTCCTCATATCCGTAACATCTTGCTCTACGCAGCAGAATAAATGAAAAAAAAAAAACACTAATAATCAAATTTCTACATCATGTTTTTGTTTGGAATTTTTTTTGAAATGTTGAACGATCGACACAGGCTCAACACATTTCTCCTCATATTCGTAACATCTTGCTCTACGCATACAGAATAAAGGAAAAAAAAACACTACTAAATCAAATTTCTACAACATGTTTTTGTTCGGAATTTTTGAAATAAACAGATGAACGAACATTTCGTTCTCGTTTTCATTTGTAGAGAGATGAATTAAAATTTGAAGGAAAAGTAATTTGACATGATTGATGAAATGCAGAGTGGTACAACTACTATTCGGCATTGTGTGTTTTTTTGTTTGATTTTATATACCTCGGATGTACTTCTTGATGGCGCGGCGGAGGCGGAGGGGGATAACGCGGCAGGCTTCGGATTGTTTAGCAGCGAATTTTAGGGTTTCGGCCGTGAATTTTGGGATGGTTTCTGATATGAAGGAAGCCATTTTTGATTCGTGTCGAGAGCGCCAGCCTCAGATGAGTAGGGTTTTAAGAGAAATGACAGTTGGGGCTTTTGGCTGAAGCCTGAACCTCCAATTAAATGCGACTTTCGCTTAGCGTCAAAAAGAAAGTAGCGACTATGGCAACGGCACGGGTCCCACATTTTTAAGGGCCCCACAAAATTTTATTTTTTTATTTATTAATTTTAATACAAGAAAAAAAAAATTAATAACTACTGTACAGTGCAAGTTGGGAATTTCCACATGATTCTATCCGAAAAGTTTCGATTTCGAATCCGATTCAATTTTCAAAATTAATTCCGAAAAACATATTATTTTCCGAAAAATACACCTATAAAAAATATATATTATATAACACTTATTTTTTGTTTTCTGAAACAAATATTTAATTTAAGTTTTGTTTTAGGATTTTGACATATTTAATTTATTTTTTATTTTTGGAAATTATTAAATTTTCAGAAAATTTATGCTAATTTTGAAATTTTAATACTTATGTGATTTTCGAATTTTTCCGAAATTCCGAAATTTCCGGCTCTTTTTGGAATTGGAATGAATGTTTTTAAATTCATAAAATTTTGGAATTGGAATTAATTTTGTACTTTCGAAAATTTTCTGAAAAAACTAATTTCGATCCGATCCATCCGACTTTCATCCCTACCAGTCTATATTAATTTCTTTTTATGGTAAACAAGTTTAATATGTGCTTAAGAAATATATTTCGGCTCTTCACTTGTGGCGAACTGAGCCTTACCAAACCTTCCTCGACGAATCCTCTCGTATCTTCCAGGTACCAATAAAAAGCCCAATCATCTTGGGCCGAGCAAAACAACTGCCCAATAACATAATTCGACCCATGTGTCCGAACTAAACACATCAATTGCGAAAAAAAATATTTACTTTATCTATCATTTTTATTGATTTTTGATTTGATTTTCCAAGTTTGTTCTCTCGTGGAAAATCGGGTTCTTACACAGTTGAATACATGATTGGCTGTCTGAATAGACTACTTCTCCATTTAAGAAACCAATTTCCTTAAGAAGACCTTTAAGCCAAATGGCTTCTTTGCCTCGGTTGCAGCAATGTACTCTGCTTCAGTAGTAGATAAAGCTACTATACGCTGCAACTGAGATTTCCAACTAATGCAAGAGCCACACAAAGTGAATACATAAGAAGTAGTAGATTTCCTATTGTCTCTATCATTAGCGAAATTAGAATCCACATATCCAATTAATTCAACACCATTATTAGATTTGGAAAAATTTAATCCCAAGTTCATGAACCTTTCAAATAACGAAGAAGCCATTTAAGCGCTTCCCAATGCTGCATACCGGGATTAGACATATATCTACTTAAACAACTAACTGCATACGCAATATCAGGCCGAGTACAAACCATAAGATACATGACGGATCCAATAGCATTGGAGTAAGGCACATATTGCATATCATTTATTTCAGATTCAGTAGCAGGAGACTGAGTCTTACTTAACAAAAAATGGGCAGTTAATGCCACATAAGCAGATTTAGCAGAATTCATTGAGAATTTTTCCAAAATATTTTCAACATAAGAAATTTGATTAAGAAGTAAGGTGTTATTACTACGATCCCTATCAATATTAATTCCAAGAATCTTCTTGGCATCTTCTAAGTACTTCATATCAAATTGTTCACTTAGACACTTTTTGATATAATTAATGGATTTCAAGCAAGGACTAATTAGGAGCATATCATCAACATAAATTAACAGAAAGATAGGAACACGAGCATTCTCCATAAAATAAAGGCAAGAATCGAAGTCACTTCGTTTAAAATTCAAAGAAATCGTGCAAGAATCAAATTTCTTATTCCATTGCCTAGGAGATTGTTTCAAGCCATACAAGGACTTTTTAAGTAAACACACATGTTCACCTTTATTAGGATCTACAAAGTCCACGGGCTGTTTCATATAGATCGTCTCATCTAATTCATCATGCAAGAACGCAGTTTTAACATCCATTTGCTTCAATTCCCAATTAAAATGAGCAACTAACGCAAGCATAATACGCACAGTAGTGAATTTAACAACAGGGGCAAAAATTTCGGAGTAGTCAACACCCTTTTTTTGAGTAAAGCCCTTAGCCACAAGCCTAGCTTTATACCTAATTGAATCTACCTCATTTTTGACCTTAAACAGCCATTTGCAATCTACCACAGAACAATTAGCAGGTTTAGGCACAAGTTCCCAAGTATGTTTAACATGCAACGAGTTCATTTCATCATTCATAGCATTTAACCATTCAGTAGATTTATCAGATTTTAAAGCATCTTTATACGACTTAGGCTCATTTCCATCTAGTGATTCAAATACATTGAAAACATGTGAGGCAAGGTGAAAATCATCAAAGTGTTTAGGTTTCCTAACATGCTCACGTCTAGGTCTATCCCTAGCAAGTTGATAATCGGACAAATCGTCCATGTTAGGCAAATCAGTTTCAACAGTTTGATCTTGCAGATTTTCAGATAATTCAGAATCACTCACATCATCTGATTTAATAGGCAATTGATCCACCTCATTTGGAGTAGATTGAGGAATAACCACATTAGGGACAGCGAGACAAGGAAATTCATATTCATTAAAAATAACATCCCTACTAATTATGGTTTTATAACCGAAATCCCCTTTCAACCAAAGCCTATACCCCTTAACCCCCTCGGGGTAACCCAAGAAAACACATTTCACGGAACGGGGTTCAAGTTTATCACCTTTATGGTGAACAAAAGCAGCGCAACCAAAAACATGCAAGTTTGACAAATCTACTTTCTTACCACACCACACAGATTCGGGTAAGTCGTCATTTAATGGCACAGATGGAGAACGATTAATCAAATAAGTAGCAGTCAAAATTGCTTCACCCCAAAACAACTTTGGCAGTCCAGAACTAGTTAACATAGCCCTAACTCTTTCGAGAAGGGTTCTATTCATTCGTGCGGCCACACCATTTTGTTGTGGGGTGTGCACAACAGATTTATGCCTTCTAATTCCAGATTCAGCACACAAATTATCGAATTCTAGGTTGCAAAACTCAGTACCGTTATATGTCCTAAGTGTTTTTATCCGTTTTCCAGTTTGATTTTCAATCAACGTTTTCCAGGTTTTAAATTTGTCAAAGACATCCGATTTTTGCTTTAACAGGAAAACAAACACTTTACGAGAATAATCATCGATAACTTAAGATTCTCCTCCCTTAATTGGAAATCGTGCCTTGCACTCCACTACCTCTTTCGGAGGAGGACCACAAAGCCTCCCCAAAGTATATTTAGGATTATTCAACGAACTGGGCTTGCGAATTGTGTTTTGTCTGGCTGATGGCCCAACTCCGGCCATGGGATTTGTAAGATTATGCCAAATCCACCACCATTAGGCTGGGAGTTTTTAGGAGCTGCCATCGTTTTGTCTCAAACATTGTTCGTCGTAACAATAGTTTTGAAAAAAATAATAAGGAGGTTATCGCGCACTATTCCAAAAAGAAATAAAAATAAATTCACATTGGTGTGTGTGAAAGAGAGAAAATATTTTAAAAAAAATTCCACATTTATATGTGAGAGAGAAAGAGAGAGGTTTGAAAAGGGGAGAAAAAAAAACTCTAGTGATGCCAGTGTATTAGGATTTTACTATTCGATTTGCTATTAAACTAATTAAAGAAAAATGGTTGGAAAATAAAAAATAAAAAAAACTGATGTCGACCTGATTAAAAAAATGGCTGGAAAATAGAAGATAACAAAATTCAAACAAAAACAACTGCTAACCGATTTGCAAACTGATTTGGTATAAAAGTAATTAGAGATTAAGATGTCATTGGAGTTACGCTTACAAATATATCATTAAAGTTTCTTAGGCTGCTCTAACATTAATTCCTTTTATATACAAGAATTAATCTGAACCAGCCGAACTAATAGCTAATTAATGAATTCACAAATATATTTCTAATAATATTTGTATTAATATTATCTTAGTACATAATTTTTCAAAAAATAAAAAAAATGAAATAATATTAGAACTCAAACAATAAATTTGATCTCATCCAACTCAAAAGGTGAAAAACCACAAACAATGGGCAACCAAACAAACACAAGTAAGTGTGTGTAAAATTGTGAGCCACATTAAGCAATATATATGCATTCTCATCTACAAACACTTGTTTCCTTGTCTAATGATAAGTCTCCATCACTCTCTTTGGCCCATAACCAAAAGCTTAATTTGGTCCACCATTCCCCTCTCAAGTCCCATTCTCCCCAAACACACCTTGTTCCCTTTTTTTCTTCATTCATTAATTCATTCATTCATTAATTTATCTACTTTTTTTGGAAATAATTGATTAATTAATTAATTTACTTGCTCCTTCAATCGCTTTCTTTATTTTTTATATATTTTAATTTATTTATTATATCTAAAGTAGTAAGGGATCGTTCGTTTACATATATCGGAATAACTTGCTTGCGCTAAATGAGATTCAATTAAAATTAAGTAATCAACTACTGAGTAATTAATTATTTAGTTAATCATATATTAGATCTTGTATTAAATCTGTTATATTATGATATCATATATATGTAGTTTGTCTATAAAAAGCTTGTATGTAACAAAATGAATATGTAATATTAAGGATAAAATAATATTTTTCTTATTTAGTCACTCGTTGCAAAATTAATCTCGTGGGAGAGGTTGCTATCAATTTAATGAAATAGTAATATTTAATTGCATGCGCTATTTTTTACATTTGGATTGATACATCAAGATTGAGTAAGTACAAATATTGTCAACCGAACGTCTTATTAATTAATTCATAATATACATGCATTAGGACATAGTCGTAACTTATAAGTAATCGAACAAGCCCTAAAAGTAACATTTTCGTGATTAGAAAATGTGACATGAAAGATTATCCTTCTAGGATATCAAATGATATAATTAAATGTATTTCTTGGTGTCATCCACGAGTATCAAGAAAATTAGATGCATTGCCTCTTAAAACATAAATAATTAGATTTTTTTTTGTATATAATACAAATATATAAACATAAAAGAAATAATATTAATCTTAAAGGGTGACCTAAAAGTTGGCAAATGGAAGCTTGTAAAATTATTGAGTAATTATCATCAAAATTCAGTCTTAATTAAACCTAATGCATGTTAGTAGGGCCACATTTGCCATGGATCAAGACTCAAATATACTCAATAAAAATTTGAGCTTTCACATGGTGGTCAACGAAGACCATGTTATTGATTCCCTTAATTTCTTCTTATTCTCATAATTAAAAATAATAGATTATATAATATATAGTTAAGAGAATCTTATGGGCAAGAATAATAGTAATAGCTGCAATTATTATATATACACATTATTTTGATTAGATATCTTGACCTCGGCTTTCTCATGTTTTCTCCACTTTAAAACTATTTAACCAATGCAATATTTGTTTTCTACCAATTGAGATGAGTTTAAATTTTGGATAAATTACATTCATCTCATGAATTTCACGAGATAAAGTTAAATTACGAAAAAATTTTAATATTTGGTAATTACAATCGCCCTTCAACTATGAATCTTCTCCAGTTTGTACTCGTTTTACTCCATTTGAGCTTCACATTTTGAAATAATATAATTATAAGATGGATCTGTTAGCTTGTAAATATCAGATTGTGGTGCATTAGAAGATGCATTTTTTTCCACAAAACGAATACAAACTAGAAAATATTCCAGAGAATATAGAAAATTATGTGAATTCAACACCATAGAGATGAACGTGTAAGGAAACTCATAGTTCAAGAGAATAGTTGTAATTACTCAAACATGAAGGGTTTTTGTAATTTGACATTACCTCAGGAGTGACAGTAATATATCCTTTGATAAATCATATAATATCTTCAAATAATTTCAAGTAATGTAAAATTAAGATGGGTATGATATTTTAGACGATAACATGATACAATAAAAAGTGACATTGTTAGATACCATGAAAAAAAAAAAAAAAAAAAAAAAAAAAGAGGATCAATACTCAAACATATTAAGTACCATGATACAATAACACAATAAAAGTTTTGAATTTAAAGACAAAATTAATAAAACTTTAATTAATTCAACAACATACACAACTCAACATTACAATATTACTCCCAAAAATATTACATCACAAATAAAACAAACACACACACACACACACACACACACACACAAGAAGCTAACCTAGTTTATGCTCATACATATACATTATACACATTACTCCTAATTTATACACATCTCTAAACTATTTTTTAAACAAAAATATTATACTCTTTAATTTCTCTCATCAACTACACGTATATATTATTTTCAGAACCCAATTTATTTATTTATTTATTTTTTTTTTTTTTTTTTTCTGATGTCTTATCCAGCGTGGTCCTACACAGGGTAGAATTGATCGACAGGTATGTTAGAATCTGTGGAGACCATTTTCTCAGAGACTGCCCATAATCTTGCAGCTTCTGCTAAGCTGGATCCCAGTTTCGACGGTGAGGATTCGTTGCAATCCGAATAGTATTTTCCACTTGCATTCTCCACCCTTGGATTTGTCGCCACGTAGCATGTTGTCGCAGCTGCCTGTCTCAACAATATTTATTTTTCTTAGACTCTATAAATTAATAAAATATTCAAAGAAAGAAATATAGATTAATTGCATTTCACACCCTTATATTTACTCTAATTATTAATATTAGTTAAAAGATTCCTATGGTCCAATTTGTTTTTTAGCAAATTATCCCTAATAACTCATTATAAAAAACATACTAATTTTTTAGTTCGATAAATTGATATTTCACTAAATTAATAGGAAAAGTCCAAACTGTATTAATTTATAAAGATTGTATTAATTTATAAAGATTTAACTGTACATGTATTTTTCTATAAATCTTGGACAACGTTAAAACAAATCTCGGCTATTTTCGTGTCAAGTACAATATTTTGTTTAGTCATTACGATAAAAGGACCCAAAAAGTATTCGAATTCAAGATTTTGTAGAAATCTCGGCTATTTTAGTCATTCTTGTATCAGAAAAGAATGAAGGTTAATCGAATAAAAACTAATGTTACCTGGGGTATAGTCTTCAACAATTTCGACGCCAAGAAAAATACCAAATCTGCAAATATACAGAAGAACCTCGATAAATTAATAATCTCGTTTAAAATATATTTTTCCTCGGTCCCAACTCGGCGACAACATGCTAAAATAACATTTCGTTAATTATTAATAAAATTTAGCTGGTCCCAATTATAATAATTTATATAGTATTTAAAAAAAATCACATTTACTATTGAAAAATGGTGAAATAAAGAGCAATATGATTAATTGGAATAGTAATTAATCACCTGTAACTAGGCCTTCACGGTCTCTAGTGAGCCTGGTTCTCACAATACCAGGATGAACACAATTCGCTGTCACATTTGCCTCCATTTCCTGCAACATTCAATTTAATTATCATCAACAAACTATTAATTTAATTTCTTAATTAAATAATTTATTTTTTGAATTTCTTCAGATAATAATAGGGAAAGGAACAAAAATCACTTTTAAGAAGAAAAATAAAATAATAATAATATAATAAATGGGTGGTGACTTGCCCTGAGTCTCCGGTCAAGTTCTTTGGTATGCAAAACGTTAGCCAGTTTCGATAGAGCGTACGCACGTGTCCCGTCGTAATCACTGTCAAATTCCAATTAATAATATCAATATTTTTTTAAATAGACCGACACCAATTATTTCTTAATAAAGTCAAACCCTTTTCCATACAAAAAAAAAAAAAAAAAAACTATATAATTAATCATTTAGTACTTCGATAATCACTTGTGATGTCATAATCCTAAAATTAAATTTTCCTTTACAGTGTTCGAGTATATGTATTTTAGAAATGTTTTCTTTAAAATGACAGAAATACCCTTCTTACTAACTGTATTTCAGTATAAATTGTATTAAAATTAAGAATGTAAATAAAGTAATAAAATCAAATACAATAGAAAATAGAAAACATAGTAATCAACGGTTACAAGAAAGGTGTTTGGCTAAACTTATAAATTGTTGCTAATTTTATTTTTCACACATTTGAAAAAATAAGACGTAACAACTTATCGACTCTTAAAATAGCTTATTCGACGTATAAATTTATCAGTTGTTTAAAATAAATTTAGTTAAACGAACTCTCTTAATAATATGACTTTTTTTTTTTAACTTCAATTCTACATGCAAGAGTAATGGTCATATGAGTGTGAGAAAAGTGGTTGTATGTAACTAATTATTTCAATTATTTACAAAAGTATGCAATAAAAATAAATAAGAACTTAATACAATAAATTATGGATCATTATCATGTATCTACAGTATATGTATTTAAATTTTAAAGTGTGCAAATAGTACTTAATCAGATTTAATTATAATCTTTATTATTTAATTACAAGAATATTATTAGCCAATTGAATTTAGAATAGAACACAAACCTCTTATTTTTGGTAATTAAGCGAAGATAACGGATCATATCGCCGGAAAACCAGCTGTGAATACTCGAAGACACATTTACTATTCTTCCTTCAACGCCGCTACTTTCGC